AGACCACAGGCACCTGCAACCACACCTGGTTCATTTTAAAAAAAAAAAAAATTGGGGGCCAAGTACAATGACTCACGCCTGTAATCCCAGCACTATGGGAGGCCAAGGCAGGTGGATCATGAGGTCAGGAGATTAAGACCATCTTGACTAAAACAGTGAAACCCCATCTCTACTAAAATACAAAAAATTAGCCGGGCATGGTGGCATGCACCTTTAGTCCCAGCTACTCAGGAGGCTGAGGCAGGGGAATTGCTTGAACCTGGGAAGCAGAGGTTGCAGTGAGAGGAGATCGTGCCACTGCACTTCAGCCTGATGACAGAGCAAGCCTCCGTCTCAAAAAAAAATTTTTTTTGTAGAGGTGGGCATCTCCTCATGTTTCACCATGTTGGCCAGTCTGGTATTGAACTCCTGGACTCAAGTGATCCTCCCACCTCAGTCTCCCAAAGTGCTGGGATTATAGGCACAAGTCACCAAGCCCAGCCCAGTATCAGAGATCTTTCCATAACCATCAAAGACAACAAACTTTGATAGAAGAAACTAAACGTTAGCCCTTTGTTTTGGGCCTCACAACTAGGCGGGTCTCTTCCAGGCAGGCCCACACTGCTGACCTTTCTTAGATACACAGCAAAAGGAGCATGATTGCTGTTTCTGTTAAACACACCTCAATTTTGAATAACAATGGCCTCCTTTGAATCTTTAAGATAGGAAATCACTTTTACTTTCATTGAGTTTAATTCGCCTAGAAACTTCCTAGCGCTTAAGTTGTATCTGTCTAGTTTCCTTTTCAGTCTGTTTCCTCACCTTTAAATACTGCCACAGCTAACATTCTTATTCAGATTTCTTAATCTAAGACTTGAGGGTATTGCCACAGGGAACTCGTCCATTGTGTTGAGTGAAAACTTGGGTATAAAGGTCTAAGGTTTTAGAATGAATGTGATTAAAAAAAAAAAAAAAAAGGCCGGGCACAGTGGCTAATGCCTATAATCCCAGCATGTTGGGAGGCCGAGGTGGGCGGATCACCTCAGGTCAGGAGTTCGAGACCAGCCTGGCCAACACGGTGAAACCCCCGTCTCTACTAAAAATACAAAAATTAGTGGGCATGGTGGTGCACACCTGTAATCCCAGCTACTCGGGAGGCTGAGGCAGGAAAATAGCTTGAACCCGAGAGGCAGAGGTTGCAGTGAGCTGAGATCATGTCAGCCTGGGCAGCAGAGTAAGACTCCATCTCCAAATAAATAAATAAATAGGGAAAGACTGAAGTAAAAAGAGATGAAAATCATTTCCCTAAGTATAAAATAAATAATAATAAAAACAATAGTTTTAGTTATACTTTCAGTTTAACAAATGTAGTTCTGTTTAAAGTTTCACAAAATACATCAACTTCATGGCAGGTGGAAACTCACAGCCAACCTCAGGCTTGTCGCAGGCCTTCCAAGTGAGAAACTAATTGATGAGGATATCAAAGTTAAGTAACTCCCTTTAGCAAAATAATTACAGCTAAGAAATGCTTTGATTATACCGTCAAAACTCATTCTATTAAAGCAGCATGTTTTCCAAGGCAGACATGTCCTACATAAATACTTTCCACTCTAATACCAGAAGGAAAAGAATCCTTCCCTCTTTCATACACCCCTAATACCATGGATATTGATGCTGTGCTAGAACCAACATCAGGCCCCGGTCGAATGTGGCAATATACATCATTTGCTGCAAGATGTACAAGGATACTTGTGTGCTCAGAATTTCAGCACCCGCTGTAGAAATAATATAAGAGCTGGAATGATGCATTCACAAATGCTGGTCCCCCAGTCTCCCCTCCCATTCTGAACAAGTGGGCTGTGGCTCCTGAATGCAGTGAGAGCAGGAACATCAAGCATAGAAGCCCAGCATCTGAAGTAGCAGATGAGCTCATCTTGCCTAAGGAGTGCCAGCACAGCTTGTCAGCCTAAGTCCCCTGGGACAGAGTGTGGGGCCTTCTGGGTGGACATTCCTGTCCTCATCCTGATAGTTCTGACCCCAAAGATGTATAGCTTACCCATGGCTTGAAGTCCCAGCACTCCCACAGTCCAGTGGGAGCCTCCACCGCCCACCCTTCAAACTCCACACCCAGCCAACACATTTAAAGGAGTTTTGTTCCCAGTGGATTTGTTAATTAAAAGTGTCACTCACTGTATTCCCCAAAGGCTGGAGTACAAGAGGGAGCCTTTCTTAAGTGAACAGTTTTCATTGCTCCAAAACAACTCTGAGAAGAAAGCCACTCAAATTCCCGGCTCTGCAAACCAGTCGACCTGACTGACATCAGCTCTCAGGCTGCACTAACATGATGTCAAGAGTGGCTTCCAGGCTGAATGCAACAAGTAAGAGTGAGCTATTGCTCACAAGAGGCACTTAATACAGCCCTGATGATTTCATCTGAAAACTAAATTCCCCTATTGTTCTAATCACTTAGTGCCTCAGGCTCTAGCTCCGTCTACTTCCCACCGCTTTCCAAACCCAGGATAAACCATTCACTCTTTCACTCTGCTGCCTCATCTCTGCTCCTCTCTCAATGTTACTGAGTCATTTCCTTTCTCGTATTTCTCAGTGTAATCTTAGTGTTTGCCAGGACCCACAATTTAGCTAGATTAATCCCCATTTCCCTGCTACTCCCACCTCCTTCCTGGCTTCACTCCCTTGCTTAGTCTACTGCAAGAAAAAGTCTCTGCTGTTTCAAAAGTATAACTTCCCTTGGAAATACACACACATACACAAGTATATTTAACCTGCCTACATACGTGTATTCTATAAATACATACACTGTACAGTTTTCATCTTTGAAAGTGGAAAAAAGGAAAAAAAAAGATACCAAACTAGGTATGGTAATATATGCAAATATCAAGCTCACTGGTAATTTCTTTTTTCTTATCTAAACTGCTTTGTACTTTCCAGGTTTTTAGCAGTGATTATGTACTGTTTTCATAACCAGTAAAATCAAAAATACTAATGAAGGTACAAAAAGACAAAAAAGAAAATTGAGGCATGAATACACAGGTCATTAAGGCATAAAAAGTTCCTGAAGATGCTGAGTGCGGTAGCTCACGCATCCCAGCACTTTGGAAGCCTGAGGCAGGTGGATCACCTGAGGTTGGGAGTTTGAGACCAGTCTGACCAACATGGAGAAACCCCATCTCTATTAAAAATACAAAATTAGCGGGGTGTGGTGGTGCACGCCTGTAATCCCAGCTACTCAGGAGGCTGAGGCAGGAAAATCGCTTGAACCTGGGGGGCAGAGATTGCAGTGAGCTGAGATCACACCATTGCACTCCCGCCTAGGCCACAAGAGTGAAACTTCTAGCTTCCTTTAGAAGA